AAAAAAAAAAAAAAAAGCATCAGAAGAGGGAGAAAAGTGAGCGAAGTTGAGTTAGAACAGCTGGGCCACAGACTGAAGATGTCGCAGCTTAATACGAGAGCCTACATCCAGGGAGGAACTTCAGAACTGAATTCCTGAAGGAGAGGTGCTGTTTCCCATGGGACACTGTGAGCAAAAGACGACTGTTCTCATCTCTCCCCTTCTACCTCAACGAGGCTCAGGTCACCAAGGACATGCTTCCTTCCGGGTGTTCCGCCTTCTTCTGATGTTCTACTGGGGAAGGGATGGGACCGTTTGGTAGAAAAGGGGGAGAAGTTGGGATATAGAAAATCTAGAAAGACAAGGTTTAGACCAAAGAGTCAGAGCTGAACCCAAAGTTCTGCGTCTTCGCGCTACGCAAACAGATGCAGCTCCCGGGCATTAGTCTCCCGGACCGGGGCTCTTTCCCGGGGAGAGGCCAGGCCTGCCGACCGCCTGCACACACGGCCTTCCCGTTCAGGGATCAAACTGGACCCTCCCGACAGAACGCTCGGTCTGAATTACGACGGAGACAGAAACACCTTCAGAGGGATGGGGAAGAACGCGGGTGGCCTCTCCCCGAGCCAGCCCCGTGCCTCTCGCGTGCGGAAGCGAGGCCCCAAGTTTTTCTCAGCAGCCCGTGTTGCCAAATGACAGGAATATTTAACAGCAACAGCAAAAGCAATGATTCCCCCTGACGGAGGCAGAAGGGGGGAATCTCTAGGGGACAACATGTAATCGAAGAAAAACCCGGAACTCTGGGACCCAACTGTTTATCCTCCTCAGCCACACAAAAGAGGAAAGGGGGAAAAAAAAATCCTGTTTCCCTGGTTCCCTCAGCGGTGCTTGGCAGTGGGGCCTATTACAAACCACACAGGCGCGAAGTGTCACTTTGGGGGCATGTTCAAGACTCACCAACAGCTCTCCCTGCCAGCTCCCTCTCTTGCTTAAAATGTGTGGCCTTCCCAGATACAGGTGCAGGGATAAAGGCACTGGTGATTGTGGTCACATCTGTCACTTGTTTGTCATACCTGCTCAGAGTGTGAACTGAGACTTTTGCAACAGAGAATAAGGATCTTGAGACCACAGATACTTTGCATGCTACGGTCCCTCTGACATGGAAAAGCGCACTATCATTTCCCAAGGCCCGGCGGGGGGACCCGAATGGGACTCGCCGTGCTCTGGACCCCACGGGCTCAGTCTGTGGTGGACACGAAAGGCGGCTGTGCAGCTGGCCCCTCTGTTTCAGTGAAGGTTCTGGAAGAGCAACGGTTAAGGAGAAAACAGCCCTCCCGCTCATGGTTATGAAGTGGCTGTAGGGGGAGGGATCCGAAAGAAAATTCCAACTATGCTGAGCATTGCACAGCCCTCAGGCATCACGGTGGGAGGGTCCCCGCGGCCGCTCCCTCTGCGGCTCAGCTCTCTGTGGAGGGGGTGCTTCCTCAATAGTTCTGGCTTTTACTGATAAATCAGCTTTGTGCTCCGCGTTTCTGAACTCTCAGGAATAAAAATAAATTCCCCTAACGAGGAGACGCTGACCACTTATATACAGTTAGGGGAAGGGGGGGCGGCTCTCCCTGCCCTGAGGCGCACACTGGCCACAGATGAAAGTGCCTGGCGGCGCTGGGTGTTCACCCCACAGTGACAATGCCCCATTTGTTCTTTGTTTGTCCCACTGCTGTCACCACCACACGGGGCGAGGAACCAAAAACAGAACCCGATGTCACAGGGACAGCACCCAGCCCACTGGGCACTGCTATGCAGGTCCCTGCCCATCCCCAGGGGACCCGAAATAAGGGGACACCGGCCCTGCTCCCGGATGCCGGGAGGGGGCAGGGGGGTGATCTCAGAGGAGGAGCACTGGGCGCTCTCCAGCTCTGATGAACCCGGCCAGAGTCACAACAACGTGGGAGGCAAGAGGGCAGGCACTGTATGGTCTTCCTTTGTGGAAGGGGGGGGGGGAAGGGGAGACCCAGTCGCATGCAGGCTGTCACTGGCACGACTCAAGGCCCCCACTGGCAGGTAAGTTAGAGGGTGTCTTCCCCCATCCCCGAGGCCTACCATGCTGGCCGTGCTGCCCATACAAGAAGGTAGCATTACGACTAATCGACTCTGGGATCAGTTCTCATGGCGGATGGGCGGAAGATTATACATCTTGTTTTGAGAACCACCTTTGTTACAGACTCGTTTTTAAAAGCTTAGCCTCAGGAATGTGTATTTTTTATGAGCTCAGCTACAGGCGAGCAAATCCCTGGAGAAGAAGATCCATCACCTACCCCAATTCCTTTCAAACCCTGGCACTGGAAGGGCAGGGACAGGAAGTGAGGAGGTCAGCTTCCTGATTAACTTCCTACATGCAGCTTTAGACTCTTCCTGGAACAGTGCCCTTTCTCTCAAATTAGAACCGCTCAACTCTTTCATCGCCACTGTGACCTCTCACCGTCCCTTGCCCTTGGTCTACGGCGAGGATCCAAGGTCCCACCCTCTTGGGAGTTTCTACCACGGTTTCCTGGCCGTCAGCAGTGCCCCTCGAAACCCAGGGAAGCTCTGACGCCGGGGAAGGACTTGGGCTCACCCCACAACAATCACTCGCGCAGCAAGATGTTTGGGGCCCCTGGGGATTTTGTTGGGTAACTCATCAAACACTTCTCAGAATCAGCTGGGAAGATTCCCATGGAACGAGCTTATACAAAGGCGAGCGAGAACAAGGAAGGAAGTAAAAGAACAAGCAAGGGAAGAGCGAAAGTCTATGAAGCGTTTTCCTGTCAAGTGTGTTTATCTTTGTGTTTGACAGAGATGCCTCTTAACCTGGCGTCGGTGCACTTGAGGGTCAAGAGTTGGATCCGATCTCTGTAGTTCAAAAGGATGAAGGGGGTAGGGGCTACCATTGCTTTCCATCAGTTTCAGCTTCCTACTGGGAAGCCCTGGAGAAACTAGGCAGCTTAAGGTTCTGTCCAACATTCTGAATTCTGACCTTCGTGTCCCTTCAATAATTGTCCGTAGACACTGCTTGAAGACATCTTCAAATGGACTTGTCAGCAGACAGTTCTGCAAGAGAAGAAGGGACACCGATCTAGAGGGTAGGCGTTGGCCTTTATTCACCTGCCTAACACGTTAGTGACCTCAGGGGCCAGCTGTTGAGCGAGGAGCTGGAGGGGATACAAAGACGAAAGAGACGCGTCTCTGTCCTCAAGGAGCGGAGTCTACCAGGGGGCAGGAGAGGAGATGGGGGAGGAATTCCAAATCCCCTGGAATGTAAGCTGAGAGAAAGACTAAAAGGAAGAGCGTCTCGAAATCCTTTCTGTGGAAGGTACAATATCCAGAGAGAAGGGTAGGAGGCACCAACTCTCGGCCGAGAGATGCCCTGGGAAGGGCCACTTGTGTTTTATGCACCAAGGGACAGCATGGTGTGGGGCAAGGAGCTGAGGGCAGCAGCCTGGTGGGGCGCTTTTGCACGTGCGGCTCCGCGACCCACGGACACCTGCATCCGAGCTAGTGCCCTGCACCTCCGCATGCAGTGTCCCAAGGGGACACCAGGACTCACAGCTTTGTATTTCCCTCCCCCAGCTTCCAAATGGCCTTGTGTGCTGGGGAAGTGAAGCCTTCAAATTCCGTATCTTTATAAAAATGCCCCGCTATGATGTTTTTCTGTTTAGCCACAGGGATTAATTTAGGTTTGTTACAGATGCAGCGTAAACTCCGAAATCTGGAAGTAACAGCGAGGGCTCAACTGAACGCAAGAATCCGGCACTTGCCCATCCCAGCCCCGGTCACTTACCTCAACCTGCTCATGCTTAGCATCCAGGAAAGGTCCCAACTGCAACAGGCCCAAGGGGAGAGAAACAAAGGTGTCAGAACCACACAGTGTCTGTGAGCACCTTCACATACCCTCCTAGTGGTTCTCTGCCCGGGATCTATCTGTCCCTCCGGGCTGCGCGTGGAGCCTGGGACAGGTAGCAGATGGGGTGGGGGTGCCCGGCTGTGACCCTGGATGGAGGGGGGCTGCCTCCTACCAACACTGGGCCTTTTCCCAAAGTCTCTTCCCCAGTTTTCCCATTGGTACCCCCCCCCCAACGCCTGACCGAAGAGGCGAAGCTGTCCCAGGAGGGTTTCCTACCAGGATGCAGACATCTGGCCGGTCGCGGTTGATGATGGCAATTAGATCGAGCAGGGGGTCATACGTGATGCTGTCGGAGGTCGTGTATGGCCCGCAGGCCACCAGGACCATGTTTTGCTCAAAATCTAAGACACAAAGGATCATGAGGTGTTGATTAGAAGAAAACGGAACGGTGGCAGAAAGGACGATAAGGGAAAAAACCGCCCCAGGATTCAATTAATTGAGTCTCCCTAGGTGTACAATTCTGGGAATCCAAGAATAAGACCTCATTCCCAGCCTCAAAGAATATTCCATCAGCTGCCAGAGACGGGGAAGTACGCGAATAGCCAGAGCATGACAGGTGGTTTGCTAGCAGCACACGTGAGCGATGGGAGGAAGCAATCGGGAGAGACGTGATCAAGGTGAGGTCTGCTAATGCGCTGCCTCCCTTTTTTATTGGGGTAAAAAAAGCACAACATAGGGGCATCTGGGTGGCTCAGTCGGTTAAGCGTCCGACTTCAGCTCAGGTCATGATCTCACGGTTCGTGAGTTCGAGCCCCGCATCGGGCTCTGTGCTGACAGCTAGGAGCCTGGAGCCTGCTTCGGATTCTGTGTCTCCCTCTCTCTCGGCTCCTCCCCCGCTCATGCTCTGTCTCTCTCTCTTTCAAAAATAAATAAAAAAATTAAAAAAAAAAAAGCACAGCATAAAACTTACCATATTAACCATTTTTAAGTGTACGTGTCAGTGCCATTCAAAGAATCCAGAATGCCGGGCAACCATCGCTGCCATTCCTTCCCAGAACTCTGTTATCTTGTCAAACTGAAACTCTGTTCCCATTAAACACTAACTCCTCCTCCCCCGCCCCCATTCTCCTGTCTATGATTTTGGCCGTTCTAAGTATCTCATGTAAGCGGAACCACCCAATATTTATCTTTTGGTGACTGGCTTATTTCGCTTTGCTTATGCTTGTAAGTAGGATTTTCCGGGAGCCAGGGCAAGGCAGTCTCCTGGAGAGCGTGCGGTTTGAGTGTGTTTGGTGTGAGGGAACATCTGGTGGTCCCGTGTGGCTGCCGAACGCGGTCCACGGAGGAGTCCAGATGGGCTGGGTGTGAGGCTCGGAATGGGATTCCCGCGTGAGCGGCACAGAGGTATGGCGTTTGGCCACCTGTCACACACTGCCCTTTTCCCCACAGCATCGGCTTTCCTTTGGGAGAGCCAGCCCTCTCCTCCGCAAAGCAGTCTGGGGGCTGCAAATTAAGTGTACTGTCGTCCCCTGGCCCGGAGACAGACGTCTGACCAGTTTAAGCCATCCACGCTCTTCTCCCTGGTTCTGGAATCTTGAGGTGAACTATCCAAGAACAGAAAAAAGGGTGGAGCTGACCTATTCCAGCCAGAGGTAACCGGGCGACACAGTTGGGGAATACCTGCTAGCCGGATGCCTCGAGTTGTGAGGCCCTTCCCTCTTCTAAGTCTGCACTCCTAGCTGCCTCTCTTACCTGTGGGCTAGCTGGATTTCCCCTGACAAATTCTCTTTTTAAGTCTGAACCAGTTTCTGTGGCTCTCACTGACAAAACCCGAAGATCCCTGCCTTCTCAACGTGTTTTAGCTTCCTATGGCTGTTGGGACAATGATCCCAAACTTAGTGGCTTAAAGACAACACAGGTTTATTATCGCGGGTCTGGAGGTCAGAAGTCCTAAAATCAGCGTTGGCAGGGCTGTGTTCCTTCTGGAGGCTCCAGGTGAGAAACTGTTTCCTTGACTTTTCCAGCTTCTAGAAGCTGCCTGGCATTCTTCGGTTCGTGAACCTTCCTCTACCTTCGAAGCCGGTAGCCTACCATTTCTATCTCTGACTCAGATCATTCTGCCCATCCCCCCCCCCCCTTACAAAGACCCTTGTGATTGCACTGGGCCCACCTGTGCAGTCCAGGCTAACCCCCCACTCGGGATTCTTAAATTAAGCATACCTGCAACGTCCCTTCTGCCATATAGAGTAACATATTCACACGTTGCAGGGACCGGGGCGTGGGGGGGGGGCCTGTTACTGGTCTACCAGAGCAGGAACCCCATGAAATGAGATGGACAGTTCAGGGAGAAGAGTAAGTTTCATGCAACGATAGGGCAGAGGACAAAGTTAAATTTGGTTCTGAGGAGCCTACAGGAGATGTAAACCCTGGAGTAAATACCAAGTGCCAGCCGGACGAGGCCCATGTCTTACTCTGTCTCCACGAGTGCCCGGCTCAACACCTTGGTCAAAAATGTTTGTTAATAACCTATTCAACTGCTTCCAGAGGCTTCCCTGGCATACAGCGAGGCTCCGGGCATCTCATGTCAATTTCGTTTCACCCCCTGAAGTGGACCTAATATCACCAAACTACTCGTGTTGCCAGAAACACCTATCTTCTGATACAATGGGCAATGTCACAAACTCCTACACTGCATTCCTGATTCTAGGTCATCTCCAAGAATGACCTCATCACTATCAATGTGCACAGGGGGTTGACAATACCCTGGCGTCAGCCATCTCATTGTGAGTCCTCAATAGTCTTCTGCTTTGCTTTCAAAAATGCTTTGAATTATTTTGAGGCAGTCTGTTAACACTTCTTTTTGTCCCTTCCCCTCTAGATTAGTTATCAAATGACTCTGGGCTTCCTTAGAAATTTGTCTACTTTTTTCAATTTTTCAATTTTATTTAAATCCAAGTTAGTTAACATACAGTGTAATAATTATTTCAGGAGAATTTAGTGATTTATCACTTACACATAGCACCCCAGTGCCCACCCCAAGTGCCCTCCTTAATGCCCATCCCCCCACCCAGCACCCCTGCAGCAACCCTCAGTTTGTTCTCTGTATTTAAGAGTCTCTTGTGGTTTGCCTCCCTCTGTTTATATTTTTCCTTCCCTTCCTCTATGTTTTGTTTCTTAAATTTGCCTAGTTTTTAAATAAACTTGCTATTTTGGAATAACTTTAGAAACATAGGAAAGTTGTAAAGACAGCACCAAGCTCCTGTATATATACCTTTCCCCCAGCGTCCCGTAATGTCCTAATGCCCCCAGCGTCCTGACTATGGTGCATTTGTCAAAACGTAGCAATTAACGCTGGCTCATTACTCTTAGCTTCTGAGTTTATTTGGGTATTACTAGCTTTTCCACTAATGTCCCTTTTCTCTTCCCGGATCCCATCCAGGATAACACAGTGCATTCAAAGAAATTCTTTTATATAAACTATTCCTATTTTCCCTCTCATAAAGTAACTTCCAGATACAAATGGCATGCCTCTTGTAGCCAGAACCCAGGTGGCAACGCTCACTGGGCTCGGACCCCGGCCTTCCACAAAGCGCCTGTGAAGCCACCAATCTGCTGTCACCCCTAGCCTCCGCCAGGGTGCGCCCAGGCAGCTTCTGCAGTTTTCTCAGGGCCTGAGGAACCTCGTCCCCCATATTCACTGTTAGCAAAACAACGTTTGGACCCAGACTTACCTTCATCCTCTTTGGGGGGCTGATAAAATGGAAGCGGCACACCCTTAAAGACAGGAGAAAAGCTAAATTGAGGCCTTACCCCAGGCACCATCTTTGGTTAAAAAAAGGGGTGGCCCCTGACCGGCATGGGAGGGGGGCGGGCAGATAGCATTTGCAGGTGGGAGGGAGGGTGGTGGGGGAGGGCGGAGATGCATAAGAAAGCAGCCTCAGTCTTGCTCCTTGGAGCTAAAAGCTCACAGATCTGATGATACCTGCCATTCTTCTATATGGCTCAGAGTGACCAAGAAATCCATGTAATGGGAGGTCACGGCTAATCTCATAATATAACTCAAGACAGGTGCTTAAAGCACCAGTTCCCTAGGCCAGGACCGGACAGCAGGGAATCCGAGACTTTTGCCTGCACTATGTGAAAATCAGTGGAGGATTATCACCTAGAGCAGGGATAGGTAAACTAGGGCCTATGGATGCAATCTGGCTACTTCCTGTGTTTATAAATCAAGTTTTACTGGCACAGAGCCACACTCATTGGCTTATGGGGGGGTCCATGGCACTTTTATGCCACAGCGGCACAACTGAGTCATTGTGACAGAGACCGTATGTCCTGTAAATTAGCCTGAAATAATTACCCTCGGGCCCTTTACAGAAATGGTTTGCTGACCCCTGGCCTAGAGGCAGCTTCCCATTTTACAGAGAATTGGGAAGCAAACAGATAGGCTCTCAAAAGGGATGAGTTTCCAGGACAGTCAGAACTGCATGTACTGTGCCTGCAGCAAAGCGGG